ATTATAGCAAAAACACTCGTATCATTATAATGTTGCTAAAACTTGTTTACACAAACAAACAATTTAACAAATGTTTATTACAATTGTTTTATAATATATATACATATGTACAATCACTGGACACTTTTCTAGAACTGCTGCAGCTTGTGGAATTCTTTGAACATGGGTATAAGCACAATGGTTGTCTTACACTCCTCACACATAAAACGAGTGTCGTTTTTGTGGGCGTTTTTTTGGTATATTCACAGACAAAACACCTCTTCTGAGCATTTTCTTGGCAGTAGTAGCAGGCAGTGGTATGGGGTAGTGATCACCAGGCCTCAGACGAGAGGACACGTGTTGATAATTTCGTGGGCGCTGGTCTATTGCAGGTGTTGTTTTTTGGGTACTTGAATATTATTTGTCTGATGACTGACAAACCAAAATTCACAATATTTGGGTTTCTTCTTGGTCTTCAACTTAAACATATTATAAGCATTCAGCTTTGGAAATGTCAAGAAGATGGAAAAACAGTTTTATGTACCACTTATAACTCTTGCGAAACACAGTCAGCAAACCCAATCTGCATGTCACATTTGTCCACAAAGCGCATATTGAGGTTATAATCCATCACAGCTGCAGGTTTTACAATGGGTTTATTGGTCTCTCTATTCTGCTTGCCAGTGTCTACCATTTCGTGTCGGTGAACTGATGGCGCAGTGTAAACATCACGTTTGTCATGCCACCGAAATGCCATGATGTCATTGGCAGCAAACCCCTTTGCACTTCACCTCTACGACTGCCGCATCGAACCTAGGCATATGTTTATGATTTCTACGCCACTGTCCCCACACACATCTGTCATGTTCACTCGCAAAAAATTTCACTGAGTTTAGGGCTTGTGTACCAGTTGTCAGTATATAAAATATGCCCCTTACCAAGATATGGCTCCATCATTTTTTTCAAACCACATCACCAGAGATACCCAGTAACTTCCTGGTATCTTCCATTGTTTTAACGCCAGTGTACACAATTATATCCAAAACCAGACCAGTTTTGAAAATCACACAAAACAAATAACTTTATCCAAAGCTTTTCCTCTTGCTTGGTATATACTGCTTGAATGAGAGTCTTCCTTTGAACAAAATAAAAGACTCGAAATAACAAGCTTCCTGAAGGGATAAAAATAATACAGCCCCTTGTTTCAGGTACATAAACACACGTCTGATCTTATATAACCTGTCCGCTTCTGTCAGGCCTGGTTTTGTCTGAAAAGTGTAACATACGTAACAGTAACACAAATCTATTCACTGGTATAATGTCACTGAAAGCAGGGGTTGAAATCAGCAGTCTGTTGCCCAGTATGTGTTGACACTATGCTTATACACATGTGGCATAAGCATTTTTGTGGCAAAGAAAGATACATCTCTGCCACAGTTGTGTCTTTCCACTGGTGTAGGCGTGATCTTGGTGACAGAATAGTGTTTGCCATGGTGTACTCAATAGTATGTATTGCTTTCCCTGACAATAATGTCCATCAGGGGGTTTATCGAAGAACAACTGAAAGCATTCCAGTTCAGTGGGATTGTTCCCAAGTGTACATGATGGCCGTATTCCACTTTGTCCTCCATCAAAGTCATGGGATTGGAAACAAACTTGTCATCTTGCTGCCAATCCCAGATGCGGTCAGCTGGTGCGTTCTGGATATTGTAATGTGGTTTGTGGTTGTGCAGGTTGTGGTTGTGGGAGTGTGGGGTGGGCGAGGGTGGTTGTAGTTGTGCAGAGTCAGCAGCGCGGTAGTAGCGTGGCCCACTGCTGGTGTCACAAGACTCATGCCACCAAACACTATCACCACCACCGCCTGCTGCTTCCCCTCACATCATTTATACCCATCGTAAAAAATATCGTCATCTTCACTATCAGGACGTGGTGTAGGGCCACGGGGTGTGCTCCGAGAAGTAAATCCTTCCTCTTGGAAGAGCATATGGCACACTACCAGACCGCATGCGAAGTCGTATATACTGCCGCTTCACTGGGGAATATTCACCCTCACTGTCACAACTAGAACTGCTTTCAATAACCTTGAAATCACTATCACTATCACTTGCACTGCTCACATCTGAGTCTTGTACAGGGCAAATAGTTTTCCTCTTTCGTCCTGGTACAGGTGAACATGAACGAGCCAGCCCCCGCACCAGAGGTGGAAGGTTGTGGGTCATCTGGATTTTCATCACTAATTATGTTATCCCGGGTAAATTTTCTCGGTCCCCACCCGCTTCAAAACCAGGGAATTCACTTTCACTGACACTATCATCACTGTTTGAGCTATCACTTGAGCTATCAAAAGACCTCCAATCCGCCGAGGAGTGAGGAACTTCTTACCGTGAGGCATGGTGAAAATGGACTACCAAGATGGTGTTCCCACAATGCACCGCTGAGTCCCAGATTTTTTTCACAGGGTGTACACCGACCACTGAGACCCATTCTCTCTCGTGTAGGCCTACCAGCCCTCTCCCGCTTGATTTGAAGCCGCTAGAATTTATGCGTATAGATACGTCAAACACGGTATCTCCCATGACGTATATATACGACCGCGACAGTCAAAGGGTTAAGGGAGGAACATGGCAACCGACCTGGTAGCACAAGCTATCAGGTCCAACTCACACCCACCCACATCCACTCATGTATTTATCCAACCTATTTTTAAAGCTACACAATGTTCTGGCCTCTATAACTGTACTTGGGAGTTTGTTCCACTCATCCACAACTCTATTACCAAACCAGTACTTTCCTATATCCTTCCTGAATCTGAATTTTCCAACTTAAAACCACTGCTGCGAGTCCTGTCTAGGCTAGATATTTTCAGCACACTACATATGTATTTACATCCCCTTTATTTATTCCTGTCTTCCATTTATACACCTCAATCATATCCCCCCTAATTGTACGTCTTTCTAGAGAGTGCAGATTCAGGGCCCTTAGTCTATCCTCATAGGGAAGGTTTCTGATACATGGGATCAACTTTGTCATCCTCCTTTGTACATTTTCCAGAGCATTTATATCCATTCTGTAATACGGTGACCAAAACTGTGCAGCATAATCTAAATGAGGCCTAACCAAGGATGTATAGAGTTGAAGAACAACCTGAGGACTCCTATTATTTATGCTTCTTGATATGAAGCCAAGGATTCTATTAGCTTTATTGCAAACACTTATGCACTGTTGTCTTGGTTTCAGATTACTGCTAACCAGAACTCCTAAATCTTTTTCGCAATCCGTAATATTAAGATCTACATTATTTAGTTTATATGTGGCTGGTTATTGTCCTGTCCAACATTAGAACTTTGCATTTGTCTATATTAAACTGCATCTGCCACTTCTCCGACCACTGCATCAGTCTATTCAAATCTTCCTGGAGTGCTCTAATGTCCTCGTCGGAATGAATTCGACGGCCTATTTTGGTGTCATCGGCAAATTTGCTGATGTCGCTCTTTATGCCCTCATCTATGTCGTTTATGTAGATTGTGAACAGCAGGGGGCCCAACACTGACCCCTGTGGAACACCGCTCGTGATGTTTCCCCACTCTGATTTCTCCCCATTTATGCAAACTCTCTGCTGCCTATTTGTCAACCATGCCTCTATCCAGGAAAAAATTTCTCCTCCTATTCCATGTGCCTTAATTTTCCTCAATAGTTTCTGATGTGGGACCCTGTCAAAAGCCTTACTGAAGTCCATATACACAATATCATATTCATTACCATGATCTACCTCCTCAAATACCTTAGTGAAAAAAGTTAATAAATTCGTAAGGCAGGAACGCCCCTTTGTAAAACCATGCTGAGATTCGTTGATTAATTAATGCTTTTCAAGGTGGCTACGAACTGCCTCGGCAATTATTGATTCCATAAATTTTCCCACTATGGAGGTTAGGCTTATTGGTCTATAGTTCGAAGCTAAGGACCTGTCACCTGCTTTGAAAATAGGTATCACATTTGCCATTTTCCACTTATCTGCCACTATGCCAGTTTGTAGTGATATGTTGAAAAGATTAGCCAAAGGTTTGCTAAGCTCCTCTTTACATTCCTTTAGAAACCCTTACATACAGTTCATCAGGGCCTGGGGATTTGTTAGGTTTTAATTTATCTATTTGCCTAAGGACCATGTCACTTGTGACCCTAATCGTGCACAGTTTATTATCATCCTGTTCTACATAATTTATCATTTCTGGAATATCGTTGGTATCCTCCCGTGTAAAAACTGAGAGGAAGTATGTGTTAAAAATTCTATACATTTCCTTATCACTGTCAGTGAGCTGACCCAAGGAACTTTTGAGTGGGCCTATCTTGTCCCTGATCTTACTTCTGTTTGATAGGAGTGAATGGAGACAAATGTTTTTTAATACTTGAAGTGCTGTTGGAGTGTGAGCAAAGTAACATTTATGAAGGGATTCAGGGAAACCGGCAGGCCGGACTTGAGTCCTGGAGATGGGAAGTACAGTGCCTGCACTCTGAAGGAGGGGTGTTAATGTTGCAGTTTAAAAACTGTAGTGTAAAGCACCCTTCTGGCAAGACAGTGATGGAGTGAATGATGGTGAAAGTTTTTCTTTTTCGGGCCACCCTGCCTTGGTGGGAATCGGCCAGTGTGATAATAAAAAAAAAATACTGTATAAACATTTAAAAATATACTAAAAATGTTAAAATGGTACATATAGTATAGTAGGTAAATAAAACCTAGATTTAATGGCAACTAATGACTATTGTGGTAGAGATAAATTGTCTTGCTTTTACTATAAAAATAATGGACAATTCTGTAACTAAGGAATTTGTTGCTTTCGAATCATCTGACCCAGCAGATTTTGTCCCTTATTTCCATATCATATTAAACAAAGGTCCACTAAACTGAAGGTTTATTATAAAAGGCTGAGTTTCTAATGAAAATATATACATCTATATCCACATTTTCTGCGATGGAAAATCAATAATGTTTACTATGAAGATCATTTATTAATCAAAACGCTCACCTAAGAGCTGGACGAGGATTCTGGGGAATGGAAATTTCCTGCAAAGTGATGTACAGTGATGATGGATATTTATTCCTACAACCACTTCTCCACCAGCTATGAAGGTCTTGATAATTCACCTTGACAGACTTCCTGGGTCTCCATAACTGCAACCGTAGTTGATGACCAATATTAAGATGATTATTAGCTCCTCTTATCTTAAGGAATGCCCAAGCAAATGTCATCCATCCACAGTTGTTTGATGAAATGCCGAAGTTATTTGTTGATGAGATTGGGAAGTCCATTAGCTGAAAGAGTATGATAACTGGGGAATCAGATGATGTGAAGTAGTTACTTGGCTCATTGATTATCAACTGCTCTTCCCACTTGCAATAGAGACTCCTGAAATGTAAAAAAAAAAAAAAGAAATTGATCATATTACCTGGTTTAATTTCAAACAGTAAACTCTTACTTATTCATCGCTTGGCAGATATGCAATCAAAGCACAAGTAAAAAAATCTAGATCATTTATGGTGGCTTGTTTATCCAGGCACCATCCTTCTGATATTAAGATTACACTGCCATTCAGCCTTTACATTCACAAAGATAAGGAGAATAGAAGCATCAGGGAAGAGAGAGGTGAAGGTTTATAAACTAAAAGAGGAGGCAGTTAGGGTAAGATATAAACAGCTATTGGAGGACAGATGTGCTAATGAGAGCATAGGCAATGGGGTCGAAGAGGTATGGGGTAGGTTTAAAAATGAAGTGTTAGAGTGTTCAGCAGAAGTTTGTGGTTACAGGAAAGTGGGTGCAGGAGGGAAGAGGAGCGATTGGTGGAATGATGATGTAAAGAGAGTAGTAAGGGAGAAAAAGTTAGCATATGAGAAGTTTTTACAAAGTAGAAGTGATGCAAGGAGGGAAGAGTATATGGAGAAAAAGAGAGAGGTTAAGAGAGTGGTGAAGCAATGTAAAAAGAGAGCAAATGAGAGAGTGGGTGAGATGTTATCAACAAATTTTGTTGAAAATAAGAAAAAGTTTTGGAGTGAGATTAACAAGTTAAGAAAGCCTAGAGAACAAATGGATTTGTCAGTTAAAAATAGGAGAGGAGAGTTATTAAATGGAGAGTTAGAGGTATTGGGAAGATGGAGGGAATATTTTGAGGAATTGTTAAATGTTGATGAAGATAGGGAAGCTGTGATTTCGTGTATAGGGCAAGGAGGAACAACATCTTGTAGGAGTGAGGAAGAGCCAGTTGTGAGTGTGGGGGAAGTTCGTGAGGCAGTAGGTAAAATGAAAGGGGGTAAGGCAGCCGGGATTGATGGGATAAAGATAGAAATGTTAAAAGCAGGTGGGATATAGTTTTGGAGTGGTTGGTGCAATTATTTAATAAATGTATGGAAGAGGGTAAGGTACCTAGGGATTGGCAGAGAGCATGCATAGTTCCTTTGTATAAAGGCAAAGGGGATAAAAGAGAGTGCAAAAATTATAGGGGGATAAGTCTGTTGAGTATACCTGGCAAAGTGTATGGTAGAGTTATTATTGAAAGAATTAAGAGTAAGACGGAGAATAGGATAGCAGATGAACAAGGAGGCTTTAGGAAAGGTAGGGGTGTGTTGACCAGGTGTTTACAGTGAAACATATAAGTGAACAGTATTTAGATAAGGCTAAAGAGGTCTTTGTGGCATTTATGGATTTGGAAAAGGCGTATGACAGGGTGGATAGGGGGGCAATGTGGCAGATGTTGCAGGTGTATGGTGTAGGAGGTAGGTTACTGAAAGCAGTGAAGAGTTTTTACGAGGATAGTGAGGCTCAAGTTAGAGTATGTAGGAAAGAGGGAAATTATTTCCCAGTAAAAGTAGGCCTTAGACAAGGATGTGTGATGTCACCGTGGCTGTTCAATATATTTATAGATGGGGTTGTAAGAGAAGTAAATGCGAGGGTCTTGGCAAGAGGCGTGGAGTTAAAAGATAAAGATCACACATAAAGTGGAAGTTGTCACAGTTGCTCTTTGCTGATGACACTGTGCTCTTGGGAGATTCTGAAGAGAAGTTGCAGAGATTGGTGGATGAATTTGGTAGGGTGTGCAAAAGAAGAAAATTGAAAGTGAATACAGGAAAGAGAAAGGTTATGAGGATAACAAAAAGATTAGGTGATGAAAGATTTGATATCAGATTGGAGGGAGAGAGTATGGAGGAGGTGAATGTATTCAGATATTTGGGAGTGGACGTGTCAGCGGATGGGTCTATGAAAGATGAGGTGAATCATAGAATTGATGAGGGGAAAAGGGTGAGTGGTGCACTTAGGAGTCTGTGGAGACAAAGAACTTTGTCCTTGGAGGCAAAGAGGGGAATGTATGAGAGTATAGTTTTACCAACGCTCTTATATGGGTGATGAATGTTGCAGCGAGGAGAAGGCTGGAGGCAGTGGAGATGTCATGTCTGAGAGCAATGTGTGGTGTGAATATAATGCAGAGAATTCGTAGTTTGGAAGTTAGGAGGAGGTGCGGGATTACCAAAACTGTTGTCCAGAGGGCTGAGGAAGGGTTGTTGAGGTGGTTCGGACATGTGGAGAGAATGGAGCGAAACAGAATAACTTCAAGAGTGTATCAGTCTGTAGTGGAAGGAAGGCGGGGTAGGGGTCGGCCTAGGTAAGGTTGGAGGGAGGGGGTAAAGGAGGTTTTGTGTGCGAGGGGCTTGGACTTCCAGCAGGCATGCGTGAGTGTGTTTGATAGGAGTGAATGGAGACAAATGGTTTTTAATACTTTACGTGCTGTTGGAGTGTGAGCAAAGTAACATTTATGAAGGGGTTCAAGGAAACCAGCAGGCCGGACTTGAGTCCTGGAGATGGGAAGTACAGTGCCTGCACTCTGAAGGAGGGGTGTTAATGTTGCAGTTTAAAAACTGTAGTGTAAAGCACCCTGCCTTGGTGGGAATCGGCCAGTGTGATAAAAAAAAAAAAAAAAGTTAACAAATAAGTATCAATTATTATTTAACATAATAATTACTAATTAAACAGCAACTGCCCAGGGAGGTACTACCGTCCTGCCAAGTGAGTGTACAATGAAAGCCTGTAATTGTTTTACACGATGGTAGGATTGCTGGTGTCTTTTGTCTGTCTCATAAACATGCAAGATTTCAGGTACATCTTGCTACTTCTACTTGCACTTAAGTCACACTACACATACATGTACAAGCATATATATACACACACCCTTCTGGGTTTTCTTCTATCTTCTTTCTAGTTCTTCTTCTTGTTTATTTCCTCTTACCTCCATGGGGAAGTGGAACAGAATTCTTCCTCAGTAAGCCATGCGTGTTGTAAGAGGCGACTAAAATGCCGGGAGCAAGAGGCTAGTAACCCCTTCTCCTGTATGTATTACTGAATATAAAAGGAGAAACTTTCATTTTTCCTTTGGGCCACCCTGCCTCAGTGGGATACGGCCGGTGTGTTCAAAGAAAGAAATTACTAATTGTAAGAAATTCATTATTTGCCTATTAAAATAAAAACAGGTGTACTGTTTGCCTTTGATATACTTTTGATATACCTTTGAAGAATTTCGAGAGTATATCTACTCTCTTATAGGTAGTAGGTTGGTAGACAGCAACCGCCCAGGGAGGTACTACCGTCCTGCCAAGTGAGTGTAAAACGAAAGCCTGTAATTGTTTTACATGATGGTAGGATTGCTGGTGTCCTTTTTTCTGTCTCATAAACATGCAAGATTTCAGGTACATCTTGCTACTTCTACTTACACTTAGGTCACACTACACATGCATGTACAAGCATATATATGTATATATACACATCCCTCTGGGTTTTCTTCTATTTTCTTTCTAGTTCTTGTTGTTGTTTATTTCCTCTTATCTCCATGGGGAAGTGGAACAGAATTCTTCCTCCGTAAGCCATTCGTGTTGTAAGAGGTGACTAAAATGCCGGGAGCAAGGGGCTAGTAACCCCTTCTCCCATATAAATTACTAAATTTAAAAAGAGAAACTTTCGTTTTTCTTTTTGGGCCACCTTGCCTTGGTGGGATACGGCTGGTTTGTTGGAAAAAAAAAAAAAAAAATCTACTCTCTGAGCCCGGCCATGGGCCAGGCTCGTCTGGTGCTCGCCTGGTCAACCTGGCTGTTGCTGCTGGAGGCCCGCTAGGCAATCCTGGAAGGCTTTTAACTATTAAGCAAAATTCAACAAACAAGTGATGTGATATCAACATACAGTGATGCAAGTGGTAACACTTGGCAGCTTGCTGCATTTAAGGTGGTGCGGCAGCAAATTGTAAGTGATGTTGACCCTTAGATACTATTAATTGTGCATGGGGTCACATGTCTCCTCCCAAACTCAAAAAAAAAAACACATTTTATAGTGATTTGAGGATAATAACAACTGATAAATACTCTTTTCCGAACTTTTTTTTTGCCATATTAAAAACTTACAATACCACAACTGTATGAAACAAGGGAAGAAGCTGTGCAAATCACCCGATATATAATTGCTGTATATAAACTTAAGTTTTTACCTCACAATAGGTGATATTAGTGCTGAGATGTGCATAATATTCAGCACAACTTTTCAATAAATAACTGAACTTATTATTCACAAAACTCAATGCTTAATTTACCTTTCCTTTTTCATATCATATGACTGTGTCATGATGGGCAGGATGTAGTGAACTTCCCCTCCCTCATAATAGGATGTTACTTTACGATCTTTACTTGATTTCTGGAGCCAATGGCCTGTGTCTGAGTTGCAAATGTGTACCTGAAATATGCAGTAGTTCTGTTAAAGGTTGAAACATTTGGACCATCAAATTAATGATATACATGTAGTACATGTATAGCTGAACCCCTGATATAGAAAGGTAATAAGTAAAAGAGAGAGAGAAGCAATAGATCAACTAAAAAACTCTTGTGGCATAATGGCAACCAAAACAGAATTGTTCAGATGTGAAGCTTTAGTAACAGTTCGGCTGAGAGTACAGTGATAGTTAGAAAACATTCTCTGAGATACTTTTAAGAGGATTACAACCAAATTATAAGAAATACTTTTCCCACAACAGTTTGACTGTTGCTGCACCACTTAGTGTTTACTATAATTATTTAAATTTGCACTGTTGTTCAGTGATTGCTCTTCTCTCATTACATCTATATACAGTAGACCCCCGACTAACGATCAGCTCCCAACTCGACCAATTCTGTAAGTGTATTTTTGTAAGTGCTTTTGTAGGTGTATTTTTGGGGGTCTGAAACGGACTAATCTAATTCATAATATTCCTTATGGGAACAAATTCGGTCTATAACGGCACCCGAACAGACTTCTGGATTGAAATAATATCGTTAGTCGGGGGTCCACTGTATATGCTGTCCTTATCCTGTCCTGCTCCATCCACTATCTTTCTGCTTTTGAATCTAGAATTCACTACCTGAACCGGTAAAGGATCCCCTGAATACTTATAAATTTAGGACTTTGCTTAAAAATCATTTCATCTCTCAATACTAACCAAAACAACTTCTAATCAGCATTTTTTTTTTTTAACATGTTGGCCATTTCGAAAGAAAGAAAAACCCAAAAAGAAAGAAAAAACTTTCATTATCAGTCAACACTTTCACCATCACTCATACATAATCAGAGATGCCCAGATAAGACAGTTGAGATAGTCACTCCAAACTGCCAATATCCCAAACCCCTCCTTTACAGTGCAGGCACTGTACTTCCCATTTCCAGGACTCAAGTCTGGCTAACCGGTTTCCCTGAATCAGTTATTATATTATATGACCTCTAGTCTATGAAACATCTACATCTGCCAATCCATGAAATATTACTGCTTGAACCATTAATTGTAATACTGCTTCTATTATGTGCAACTTCAAGATTATTATTCTTATAAACTTCCACTTGACTACCTCATATTAGTATTAAAATTAAATAAAGAATTTAATCTTAATACAAAGATTAACCACTCATATCTTGTCTAAATTTAAGTAATTATTATGTACAGGCCAGCCATCACTAATCCGGCAATCAGTTATCCGGTTCCATCAGTAATCCGGCACTATTTTCGGCAAGCATAATTTCAAATTACCAGGGTTGCCACACCAATCAGCTACTGTTTGGTGGTGCTACTTGCTGTATAAGTCATTTCAATTTCTTTTTCTCCATTTATTGTTATAACCTGCTCACTTTTAGCCCTAGCCATGGTTCCATCGAATAAAAGAAACACTTTGTTGTATAAGGCACCTACACCGTACATTGTCCATCACATAGCCAAGAAAATTTCCAAATCAGTAGGAATCCTTTCCAAGATACGATAACATGTACCACAAACGACTCTCCTTACCCTGTACCACTCTCTAATATATCCTTACCTCACCTATGGTATTTGTGTCTGGGGCTTAACTACAGCTAACCACCTTAGACCCTTAATAATCCAACAAAAAGCTGCTGTGCAGGTGATAACCAGCTCCTGTGCTAGTCAGCACACCCCACCACTTTTCAAAAGACTCAACTTGCTAAATATACAAGACATACATTCTTTTTCTTGTGCTTGCTACATATACAGAACATAAACTCCACTGTAAACCCTCCCCTAAAACTACTCCTAGACAGTTACAACAGAATGCAGTCACAATACAAGGCATAAGGCACTTTTAGACATCCCTCGAGTCAGTCTCTCACTATGCAAGAACCCTATGTACATAAAAGGCCCGAAGATCTGGAACTCGCTACCGGAACAGGTCAAGGATCCCCTGACAGCTTATAAATTTAGGACTTTGCTAAAAATCATCTTATCTCACAATATTAACCAAATTAAACAAACATGCTAACTAGTTTTATTATGTGACCTCTAGGCTCTTAATTCTACAGATCCATAAAATAATGCTTTTTTTTTTTAAGAAGTTGGCCATCTCCCACCGAGGCAGGGTGACCCAAAAAGAAAGAAAATTCCCAAAAAGAAAATACTTTCATCATCATCATTCGACACTTTCACCTCACTCATACATAATCACTGTTTTCGCAGAGGTGCTCAGAATGCAACAGTTTAGAAGCAAATACGTATAAAGGTACACAACATATCCCTCCAAACTGCCAATATCCCAAACCCCTCCTTTAAAGTGCAGGCATTGTACTTCCCATTTCCAGGACTCAAGTCCGGCTATATAAAAATAACTGGTTTCCCTGAATCCCTTCACTAAATATTACCCTGCTCACACTCCAACAGATCGTCAGGTCCCAAATACCATTCATCTCCATTCACTCCTAACACGCTCACACATGCTGGCTGGAAGCACAAGACCTCTCTCCCACACAACCTCCTTTATCCCTCCCTCCAGCCTTTTTGAGGATGACCCCTACCCCGCCTTTCTTCCCCTACAGATTTATAAGCTCTCCATGTCATTCTACTTTGATCCAATCTCTCTAAATGACCAAGCCACCTCAACAACCCCTCTTCAGCCCTCTGACTAATTCTTTTATTAACTCCACACCTTCTCCTAATTTCCACACTCTGAATTTTCTGCATAATATTTACACCACACATTGCCCTTAGACAAGACATCACTGCCTCCAACCACCTCCTCGCTGCAGTATTTACAACCAAAGCTTCACACCTATAAAAGAGTTGGTACCACTATACTTTCATACATTACCTTCTTTGCCTCCATAGATAATGTTTTTTGTTTCCACATATACCTCAATGCACCACTCACCTTTTTTCCCCATCAATTCTATGATTAACCTCATCCTTCATAAATCCATCCGCTGACATGTAAACTCCCAATATCTGAAAACATTTACTTCTTCCATATCCTCCTCCCCCAATTTGATATCCAATTTTTCTTTATCTAAATCATTTGATACCCTCATCACCTTACTCTTTTCTATGTTCACTTTCAACTTTCTACCTTCACACACTCTCCCAAACTCATCCACTAACCTTTGCAATTTTTTCTTTAGAATCTCCCATAAGCACAGTATCATCAGCAAAAAGTAACTGTGTCAATTCCTATTTTCTATTTCATTCCCCATAATTTAATCCCACCAATCACCTGAACACCCTAGCATTTACTTTTTTCACAACCCCATCTATAAATATATTAAACAACCAAGGTGACATTACACATCCTGTCTAAGACCTACTTTTACTGGGAAGTAGTCTCCCTCTCTTCTACACACCTTAACCTGAGCCTCAATATTCTCATTAAAACTCTTTACAGCATTTAGTAACTTACCACCTATTCCATATACTTGCAACATCTGCCACATTGCTCCCCTATCCACTCTATCATATGCGTTTCTAAATCCATAAATGCAATGAAAACTTCCCTACCCTTATCTAAATACTGTTCACATATACGCTTCAATGTAAACACTTGACCTACACATCCCCTACCCACTCTAGAACCTCCTTGCTCATCTGCAATCGTACACTCTGTCTTATCTCTAATTCTTTCATAATAACCTACTGTACACTTTTCCTGCTAAACTCAGTAAACTAATTCCTCTATAATTTTTACAATCTCTTTTGTCCCCTTGTCCTTTATATGAAGGAACTATACATGCTCTCTGCCAATCCCTTGGTACCTTCCCCTCTTTCATACATTTATTAAACAAAAATACCAACCACTCTAACACCATATCCCCCCCCCCCTGCTTTTAACATTTCTGTCATGATCCTGTCAGTTCCAGCTGCTTTACCCTCTTTCTTTCTATGTAATGTCTCATGCACCTCCCCCACACTCACATCCTGCTCTTCTTCACTCCTAAAAGATGGTACACCTCCCTGGTCAATGCATGAAATTTCCGCCTCCCTTTCTTCATCGACATTTACAAGTTCCTCAAAATATTCCCGCCATCTACCAATACCTCCATCTCCCCATCTACTAACTCCCCTACTCAGTTTTTAACTGACAAATCCATTTGTTCCCTTGGCTTTCTTAACTTGTGTAACTCGCTCCAAAATTTTTTCTTATTTTCATTAAAATTTCATGACAGTGCCTCTCCCACTCTATCATCTGCTCTCCTTTTGCACTCTCTCACCACTCTCTTCACCTTTCTTTTACTCTCCATATACTCTACTCTTCTTATAACACTTCTGCTTTGTAAAAACCTCTCATAAGCTACCTTTTTCTCTTTTATCACACCCTTTACTTCATCATTCCACCAATCATTCCTCTTTCCTCCTGCCCCACCCTCCTATAACCACAAACTTCTGCCCCACATTCTAATACTGCATTTTTAAAACTATTCCAACCCTCTTCAACTCCCTCACTACTCATACTTACACTAGCCCACCTTTCTGCCAATAGTCGCTTATATCTCACCCGAACTTCCTCCTCCCTTAGTTTATGCACTTTCACCTCTCTCTTACTTGTTATTGCTATTTTCCTCTTGTCCCATCTACCTCCTACTCTAACTGTAACTACAACTAAATAATGATCCGATATATCAGTTGCCCCTCTATAAACATGTACATCCTGGAGCCTACCCATCAACCTTTTATTCACCAATACATAATCTAACAAACTACTTTCATTACGTGCTATATCATACCTTGTATAATTATTTATCCCCTCTTTCATAAAATATGTATTACTTATTACCAAACCTCTTTCTACACATAGCTCAATTAAAGGCTCCCCATTTTCATTTACCCCTAGCACCCCAAATTTACCTACTACTCCCCTCCACAACATTTTTACCGACTTTAGCATTGAAATCCCCAACCACAAGTACTCTCACACTTGGTTCAAAACTCCCCACACATTCACTCAACATTTCCCAAAATTTCTCTCTCTCCTCTACATTTCTCTCTTCACCAGGTGCATGTACGCTTACTATAACCCACTTTTCACATCCAACCCTTATTTTACTCCACATAATCTTTGAATTAATACATTTATACTCCTTCTTTTCCTGGGATAGCTTATCCTTCAACATTATTGCTACTCCTTCTTTAGCTCTAACTCTATTTGAAACCCCTGACCTAATCCCATTTATTTCTCTTCACTGAAACTCTCCCACCCCCTTCAGCTTTGTTTCACTTAAAGCCAGGACATCTAGCTTCTTCTCATTCATAACATCCACAATCATCTCTTTCCTATCATTCGCACAACATCCACGCACATTCAGACATCCCACTTTGACAATTTTCTTATTCTTATTCTTTTTAGTAATCATTAGAGGAAGAGGGGTTACTAGCCCATTGTTCCCAGCATTTTAGTTGACTTTTACAACACGCATGGCTTACGAAGGAAAGATTCTTATTCCACTTCCCCATGGATATAAAAGGAAAAGTAATAAGAACAAGAACTATTAAGATAAAATCAAAGAAAACTCAGATGAGTGTGTATAAATAAACATGTACATGTATGAGTAGTGTGACCTAAGTGTAAGTAAAAGTAGCAAGACGTACCTGTAATCTTGCATATTTACAAGACAGACAAAAGTCACCAGCAATCCTACCATCATGTAAAACAATTACAAGCTTTCGTTTTACACACACTTGGCAGGACGGTAGTACCTCCCTGGGTGGTTGCTGTCTACCAACAAATATATATACGTAACAACAAATATTTTTTTTTTCAACAAACCGGCCACATCCCACCAAAGCAGGAGGGCTCAAAAAGAAAAACTAAACTTTCTCTATTTAAATTTAGTAATTTATACAAGAGAAAGGATTACTAGCCCCTTGCCTTGGGCATTTTAGTTGCATGGCTTACAGAGGAAGAATTCTGTTCCACTTCCCCGTGGAGATAAGAGGAAATAAACAAGAACAAGAACTAGAAAGAAAATAGCAGAAAACCCAGATGAGTGTGTATATATATGCTTGTACATGTATGTGTAGTGTGACCTAAGTGTAAGTAGAAGTAGCAAGACCTACCTGAAATCTTGCATGTTTATGAGACAGAAAAAAGGACACTAGCAATCCTAAAATCATGTAAAACAATTACAGGCTTTCATTTTACACTCGCTTGGCAGGACGGTAGTACCTCCCTGGGTGGTTGCTGTCTACCAACAAATATATATACGTAACAACAAATATCTTAGGTAGTAGGTTGGTAGACAGCAACCGCCCAGGGAGGTACTACCGTCCTGCCAAGTGAGTGTAAAACGAAAGCCTGTAATTGTTTTACATGATGGTAGGATTGCTGGTGTCCTTTTTTCTGTCTCATGAACATGCAAGATTTCAGGTACGTCTTGCTACTTCTACTTACACTTAGGTCACACTACACATACATGTACAAGCACATATATACACACCCCTCTGGGTTTTCTTCTATTTTCTTTCTAGTTCTTATTCTTGTTTATTTCCTCTTATCTCCATGGGGAAGTGGAACAGAATTCTTCCTCCGTAAGCCATGCGTGTTGTAAGAGGCAACTAAAATGCCGGGAGCAAGGGGCTAGTAACCTCTTCTCCTGTATATATTACTAAATGTAAAAGGAGAAACTTTCGTTTTTCCTTTTGGGCCACCCCGCCTCGGTGGGATACGGCCGGTGTGTTGAAAGAAAGAGAAAGAAGAACTAGAAAGAAAATAGCAGAAAACCCAGATGAGTGTGTATATATATGCTTGTACATGTATGTGTAGTGTGACCTAAGTGTAAGTAGAAGTAGCAAGACCTACCTGAAATCTTGCATGTTTATGAGACAGAAAAAAGGACACTAGCAATCCTAAAATCATGTAAAACAATTACAGGCTTTCATTTTACACTCGCTTGGCAGGACGGTAGTACCTCCCTGGGTGGTTGCTGTCTACCAACAAATATATATACGTAACAACAAATATCTTAGGTAGTAGGCTGGTAGACAGCAGCCGCCCAGGGAGGTACTACCATCCTGCCAAGTGAGTGTAAAACTAAAGCCTGTAATTGTTTTACATGATGGTAGGATTGCTGGTGTCTTTTTTTTTTCTGTCTCATACACATGCAAGATTTCAGGTACGTCTTGCTACTTCTACTTACACTTAGGTCACACTACACATACATGTACAAGCATATATATACACACCCCTCTGGGTTTTCTTCTATTTTCTTTCTAGTTCTTGTTCTTGTTTATTTCCTCTTACCTCCATGGGGAAGTGGAACAGAATTCTTCCTCCGTAAACCATGCGTGTTGTAAGAGGCAACTAAAATGCCGGGAGCAAGGGGCTAGTAACCCCTTCTCCTGTATATATTACTAAATGGAAAAGGAGAAACTTTCGTTTTTCCTTTTGGGCCACCCCGCCTCGGTGGGATACAGCCGGTGTGTTGAAAGAAGAAACAACAACAAATATATATAACAACAAATATATAGCAACTTGAGCATAAGGAATGGCTTAGCAACATTTAAAGTAATACAGTAGCCACATATTTGTATCAAAGGTATAGAGATGGTTGAATTTAAAATCTCTGAATGGAATTCTACGAGTTCATACACCTTCTCCAAACATGACTCACAAAATTGTAATGACACGATTGCAAACAAACGGTCTGGAGTTTTGAGACTCTCTGACCGCAGGTTCAATCCCGCCCGTCGTATGGTTTCTCCAAACATGTTTGTGTGTTTCCCTCCCAGTGAGTGTCTAGAAAATAAAGTGATGATGAAAGAGTGCTTCAAAAAATTACACTGAAATATATTCAAATGAATACACGGCTAGTATTGTTCATAAGCAACAAAGATTAGACCTAACCTGGACCACAGGATGTGGAAGCAACATAGGAGAGCCTTCAAAACGGTCTGCACAATGGATTGTGATACCCAACACTTTATCTGTAAAGCAAGTGCAAGTTTTTAAATTTACAATTACAGTATCTTGAGCAACTGTTACTTAATATTAGTTTCTCTTTGTTTTTCCTATAATAGCCAAGAAATTCATTAAAATGAATACAAAAAAATTACAGAACTTATTAACATAATTCATTAAACTTATGGGGAATTCCTAAGCAACCAACTCTACATAAGCAGCACTGACTCCAATCACGTAGGTCTACACGAGAGTGAAAAGGTTAATTTCTTCACATACAATAACGCTTCCTACAAAACAATTCTTAAGCATGGCCAAGGGCTCACTGTTAAGTGCTGTACTTGCAAAAGTTTACATTAATTGCTGGAAACTGATTGACTTGCTAACTCCTACGTGTCCTGCGTGAGGTATATCAATGACATACAGTATCGTTAATCACCCCTACACAGCTCAACCTTCACCAGCTATGGGACAATCTCAGTGGAGTTCAACCATTAATTCAGTTGACTCTTAGAAACTGAAATGAATAATAGAATAACCTTTTTAGATCTCCTTATACATAGATACTATGATGCCTCTTCATTTCAAGTACATGTATACTGTAATTCTACTGCATCTTAAATGAAGTTTTCAATTGTTGCTTGTGTTTTTATGACCTACAGAGAGATCATGGGAAGGTTTAATGTCCTACACTAAATTATTATATTCATGGGGAAGCAATAAAGCTATAAAGGTTATACAATAATTTACACAACAGTTTATAAAATGCTGTAGTTTGTAGAAAATGCAGTTCATCTTTTATAGTAACAAAGAGCACACTGGTAACTGAAAGAAGGATAGCTGAATACTGACTCTAATTTAAAATTAAAGAACAGCACCTTACATCATTAAAACATACAGATGAATGAAGCAGCAGATAGACAGCTTTACCTGAATCTTTAGCACCTCTCTTGGATTTTTTTAGAAAGTGTCTTTTTTGGCACTGAAACTGCCTTCAGGTACTCAGCAGTTGAAGAGCTTGGACCATGTAATTTTCTTCTGGATCCTCTGGCTCTCCATCATTCTTGACAGCCTTAAAAAATATTCTGGTAAGTCAAGCGAATATTATAAGCAAATATACAATCATCACCCATTTCAAGATTCTGTAGCAGTTATTAAGGTCTATGAAGAGAATGAGAGATTATTTTTCCCTGATTAATTAAACTGAAAAAAATTTTTTTTTACAAATTTAAACTTAATTATTTTTATAAATATATTCAGTAGCTAGTAACATCAATAATAAGATTGGAATAGCTGCAATATCAACAATAGCACATGCTGTATTAGCAGTTGCAACCCCAGCTGCAAGGACAAAACTGAAGTAAGCAACAGCAGTAAAACTTTCTTCTGATGCTCAGTCATTACATACTACCAAACACTCATTCAGATTCTACCCCACTCTTGTCAGCATGCTATTTTGTACAAAAAAAAAGTTCAATAAAAAAATGCTCATCATCCAAAAATCAGTGATAACAGCAGGGCTCTGGCTCTTTAAGACACACAACAAAACTCTTAACCACTAATCCATAAACATTATACTTTAAGCAAAGCTCTAATCAAGCTGGGTATGTCCAAACCTCCTCTTCCTTGACTGTTAAATCTTGTATCTGTTTTGTTTGATTATCTTTATGTTTCCTTAAATATTCTTGGATATGTGTTGCCTGATCATCCTCTTGCCCCTCAAGATCTTCCTTTTCAAAGTTCCTGCTCTTCTTTGAACTTTTGGAATTTCTGACTACTTTTAATACAAAGGCATCTTGAACACCAGCTTCCTTTGCCGACTTGCTCCTTTTCTTTTTCTGCTCCCTATATTTATTAGAAGAGATTAAACCTATCATAAGTTATCACAAACAAGTTTAAAGTGCAATATTTACAATATAACTTTTTTTACCAAGTGCACTGGCTTGAAAAAATGTCATACTTGCATTCACCATCTAATATTTATTCTTGGATCAGTTTTAGCAAATATTGTGAAACACAAAAAACATCATTTACAAATGCAGAAAAGAGGCTGATGGGAGAAAACAGGAAGACATGAACTCCATACAAGGCCATAAAAGTATATGAAAGAATATATAGACATCTAACCTCTTGAACTTAAGTCCCTCCTCTCTCTACATGCTCTATAGCAGGGATGCACAACATTTTCAGTCACCAAATTTTGACTGAAGAATAAGCAATGTGGTGTATAGGTTATGAACTCACCAAAGACAAAGGAAGGTTTGTAGAATCATGAGTCAGAGATAATACAAGTACTGTACTACGTATAACAATACTGACAAACTGTGTAATACACAGGTATGTAACACTTATGACATTATATAGTAAACTTCTCCTGCTAAGGTCTCTATCAATCCCATACAGAGAACAGGTAAAACACAAAATATATATAGACTGGACAGAGGTTATGAGTCAAGTGGGGTCAGGTGTCACTGCATGAGTAACCTGTTCATACATCATGTAATGGGGAAGGATCAGCTTAGTGAGGATACTTGATGCTCTAAAACTTCCAAAGTTCTGAGCCACTATGTTTTACACAGCAATTAAGGATGCCTCAAGAACAACACATTTCTGCAAATCACTCTCCTTCAACAACATGGCTTCCTTCCAATTCTTTACGTATCATTGTCAGTTGTGGTGAATCACAAAACTTAGCCAGGTTGTCTCTGCTGAATAAGAATAATAAAGAATAAGAAGTTTATTTTGACATGATACATGTGTGTACAGAAGATATAGCAGTTGGGTGTACATGCCAAAAGCCCCTTTGTATGCAGAGCATTTTGGGCAAACTATTTGGGTGATGAGGTGATTTCTTAGTAAGGCCTTAAACTGATTTGCAGACAGGGGTCCTTTAGTGTGTTCTGGCAATGAATTCCAGAACTTCATGCCCTTTACATGCATAGCATTTTTGCAAAGGGAGAGATGGACACGAGGGATATCGAAGAGTGATTTCTGTCTTGTATTATGGCTGTGTGTTCTGTTATAGTTATTAAGGAGAAGTTTGAGAGGAGGGTTTATATTTGAGTATATGTGTTTGTGTATGTAGTAGGCACAATAATAAGTGTGGATGTTTTGTATATTAAGCAAGTTAAGACTCTTGCAAAATGGTGGAGTGTGTTGTCTAATGTAGGATTTAGTAATCAATCGCACTGCAGCTTTTTGCTGGGTTATTAAAGGCTTAAGGTGATTTGCTGTGGTTGAGCCCCATGCACAAATACCATAGGTGAGGTAAGGGTAAATGAGAGAGTGGTAGAGAGATAGAAGAGCTACTGAATCCTTGAAAGGATGCCTACTGTTTTGGAGACTTTCTTGGAAATTTGCTGTATGTGTGTCTGAAATTTGAGACTGCAGTCAAGGTGGAGACCTAGGAAATTGCCCTGTCTGTCTGTCTAGAAATGGGTGAACCATTTACCTATATGTTTAGCTGTATATTTGAAGCTCTGTTTCCAAACAGCATGAAGTAGATTTTGTCTATATTGAGAGTAAGTTTGTTGGTAGTCATCCAAGAAGATATATTTAGCAGTTCGGCATTTACAGTGTCTCTTAGTATGGCTGGGTTTGGGTGAGAGAAGACATAAGTAGTGTCATTTGCAAATAAAATGGGTTTAAGGAGATTAGATGCATTTGGTAGGTCATTGATGTAAATGATAAAGAGAAGTGGGCCAAAGACACTCCCCTGTGGGACTCCAACAAGAACAAGTTGTGTAATGGAGCTGGCTCCATTTGTGCATATATACTGGGTTCTACTGCTAAGATTTTAGGTAATCAAGAGAGTGTCCTCTGACCCCATAATGTTGAAGTTTTAAGTGCAAAAGGTCATGGTCAACTGTATCAAATGCTTTTCGTAAGTCTATGAAAAATCCCAGGAGAAATTAATTTTTTTCGAGTGCAGAATATATTAGTTCAAGCATACATATAATAGCATCGTTAGTACTTTTTTTCAGTCCGAACCCAAACTGACAGGGGTTGAATATGTTGTGGGATACTAAGTAGGAGAAGACTTGTTTATGAATTAATTTTTCAAAGATTTTAGACAGTAGGGGCAAGTTTGATATAGGCTTATACCTGTTCAATTCAGTTGCTAACGAAATGAATTGCAGAAGCAGCATTCTCGAGGCACCCTTGCTCACTGTGTTCAATGCAGTGGCTCACATCTTAAGTTTTAGCATATAAGGTGTCCTCACTAGACTGATCCTTCCATGTCACCTCATGCACACACCAGCACCTAACCCCATTTGATTCACATAACCTCTGCCCACTATATACTGCTTTTCACATTGCTAAATTTACAAACTGTAATGGAATTTGGTAGGGTGTGCAAAAGAAGAAAATTAAAGGTGAATACAGGAAAGAGTAAGGTTATGAGGATAACAAAAAGATTAGGTGATGAAAGATTGAATATCAGATTGGAGGGAGAGAGTATGGAGGAGGTGAACGTATTCAGATATTTGGGAGTGGACGTGTCAGCGGATGGGTCTATGAAAGATGAGGTGAATCATAGAATTGATGAGGGAAAAAGAGTGAGTGGTGCACTTAGGAGTCTGTGGAGACAAAGAACTTTGTCCTTGGAGGCAAAGAGGGGAATGTATGAGAGTATAGTTTTACCAACGCTCTTATATGGGTGTGAAGCGTGGGTGATGAATGTTGCAGCGAGGAGAAGGCTGGAGGCAGTGGAGATGTCATGTCTGAGGGCAATGTGTGGTGTGAATATAATGCAGAGAATTCGTAGTTTGGAAGTTAGGAGGAGGTGCGGGATTACCAAAACTGTTGTCCAGAGGGCTGAGGAAGGGTTGTTGAGGTGGTTCGGACATGTAGAGAGAATGGAGCGAAACAGAATGACTTCAAGAGTGTATCAGTCTGTAGTGGAAGGAAGGCGGGGTAGGGGTCGGCCTAGGAAGGGTTGGAGGGAGGGGGTAAAGGAGGTTTTGTGTGCGAGGGGCTTGGACTTTCAGCAGGCATGCGTGAGCGTGTTTGATAGGAGTGAATGGAGACAAATGGTTTTTAATACTTGACGTGCTGTTGGAGTGTGAGCAAAGTAACATTTATGAAGGGATTCAGGGAAACCGGCAGGCCGGACTTGAGTCCTGGAGATGGGAAGTACAGTGCCTGCACTCTGAAGGAGGGGTGTTAATGTTGCAGTTTAAAAACTGTAGTGTAAAGCACCCTTCTGGCAAGACAGTGATGGAGTGAATGATGGTGAAAGTTTTTCTTTTTCGGGCCACCCTGCCTTGGTGGGAATCGGCCGGTGTGATAATAAAAAAAAAAAAAAAAAAAAATAATGTAGTTACTTAGCCTTAATATCAACTTGCTACATAATCTGTAATAATATAGTTATGAATTAATCTTAGTCTGCCCGAAATGCCTAGCCATGCTAGGTGTGACAGTGGCCCCCTCTGTAATTAGTATTTTATAGCATGTAAACCACACAATATCCTAAAATATGTAAACCCCGCATTGTAATTTTTATAGAGAATAAACTTGATTGATTGATTGATTGATTTGTGTTGAGTTGATAAAGCTCCAACAGACAAAATACCTCCTAATAAAATGTCCTAAATGTTGCACACTGCTGTCTTAATTGCAGTGAGTGAGTTAGATTTTTTTAACAGACATCGAGGGCCAAAATTATGTCACTCAAGGGTTGCATGTTGTTTATCCCTACTCTATACAGTAATCCCCAACTTCACTACACCTTTTCCTATCTTCAACCCTTCCCCCTTCCCAAAAAAAAGCAAATAATCATTGATCACTGTTAACTATATAATGAAATATTTTGCACTTTGTTTATTGAAACATGTTCATTCTATGTCTCAGATCATTGGTGCCTTTCTATGACTTATTTAAAAATTGCATTTATTTTGAAAAATATACTTTATTAGAAAAAAATCATGAAAAGCATCTCCAATTACAATAGGTGCCTTTGGGAAAAGTAAGTTTTGCTTCAGAGGAAATTTCATTCAACATATGACATATGACAGGGTGGATAGGGGGGCAATGTGGCAGATGTTGCAGGTGTATGGTATAGGAGGTAGGTTACTGAAAGCAGTGAAGAGTTTTTACGAGGATAGCGAGGCTCAGGTTAGAGTATGTAGGAGAGAGGGAGATTATTTCCCAGTAAAAGTAGGCCTTAGACAAGGATGTGTGATGCCACTGTGGTTGTTCAATATATTTATAGATGGGGTTGTAAGAGAAGCGAGTGCTAGGGTCTTGGCAAGAGGTGTGGAGTTAAAAGAAAAAGAATCAAACACAAAGTGGGAGTTTTCACAGTTGCTCTTTGCTGATGGCATAGTGCTTTGGGAGATTCTGAAGAGAAGTTGCAGAGGTTGGTGGATGAATTTGGTAGGGTATGTAAAAGAAGAAAATTAAAAGTGAATATAGGAAAGAGTAAGGTTACGAGGATAACAAAAAGATTAGGTGATAGAAGACTGGATATCAGATTGGAGGGAGAGAGTATGGAGGAGGTGAATGTATTCAGATATTTACGAGTGGACATGTCAGCAGATGGGTCTAAGAAGGATGAGGTGAATCACAGAATTCATGAGGGAAAAAAGGGTGAGTGGTGCACTTAGGAGTCTGTGGAGACAAAGAACTTTGTCCATGGAAGCAAAAAAGGGGAATGTATGAGAGTATAGTTGTACCAACACTCTTGTATGGGTGTGAAGCATGGGTGATAATTGTTGCAACAAGGAGAAGGCTGGAGGCAGTGGAGATGTCATGTCTGAGGGCAATGTGTGGTGTGAATATAATGCAGAGAATTAATAGTTCGGAAATTAGGAGAAGGTGCAGGATTACCAAAACTATTATCCAGAGGGCTGAGGAGGGGTTGTTGAGGTGGTTTGGACATGTAGAGAGAATGGAACAAAACAGAATGATTTTGAGAGTGTATAAATCTGTAGTGGAGGAAAGGCGGGGTAGGGGTCGGCCTAGGAAAGGTTGGAGGGAGGGAGGGGGTAAAGGAGGTTTTGTGTGCGAGGGGCTTGGACCTCCAGCAAGCATGCATGAGTACATTTGACAGGAGTGAATAGAGCCAAATAGTTTTTAATACTTGACGTGCTGTTGGAGTGTGAGCAAAGTAACATTTATGAAGAGATTCAGGGAAACTGGCAGGCTGGACTCTGAGTCCTGGAGATGGAAAGTACAGTGTCTGCACTCTGAAGGAGGGGTGTTACTGTTGCAGTTTTATAACTGTAGTGTAAAGCACTCCTCTGGCAAGACAGTGATGGAGTGAATGATGATGAAAGTTTTTCTTTTTTGGGCCACCCTGCCTTGGTGGGAATTGGCTGATGTGTTAAAAAAAAAAATAAAATAACTCTTCTCTGGAATGCATCATGGTTGCTAAGCAGGAAATGACAGCAGAAGGTGCATTTTTCAACAGTTATTTCCAGTCATTATCATGACTCTCAAACATAGGCTCATAAAAATATTACAAAGCAGCAAATTAGCACAGTACAGTACGTACTATCTCTCTTTTCATCTCCATTACAATTTGAAATGTCACTTGAAGTGTGATGCCCATGAACTTCTGGAAAGAAATCTACCAAATGAGTAACGGCGAATGACTGTTTCCTTCTTTGGGGTCACCCTACTTTGATGGGAAACGGATGAAGTGATAAAATACAAAAGCAAATTATACAGTATTTGCTTTAATTTACCAAAGATTATCCCCAACAGACATGATTGTAACAATTTCTGCTCCAGCAGAAGAATATACAGTATGTATAACTCTGAGGATGTGTTGACCTCCACTTACTTTGTGTCTTGCAGTTGGCAAGTGTCCTCTTCAGTATTTGCCTCATCTTTCTTTTTCTTGCTAAGCTTCTGAAAAAAAAAAAATGCATATAACAGCCATCTAGCATTTACTTTACCCCTTACAATAAAAGGACAACACACTGACCTGCTAATTTCAAGGCTGGCTTTCCAAAGATTCAAACCCTCCATTTGGTGAGACTAAAAGTACTTACTCACTGAACTGCACCAAACAAAAACAAATTTAGCACAAATAGGCACTCAGCCACCAGTATTATTTCCAAAAATTTGCTGAAGACCTATTCCTCCAACTGATTTTTTCTATCAGACAGTAAACACAGTATAACAAGGTGCCACACCCTTTTTAAAATAAGGGGCTTCTAAAAGTTTAAGAAATAAGGCAGCAGATATAATATTTTTTCTACAAATTTTCCTTAAAAGTGTTTAAGTATGTACTACTTTTATTTAATTCTTCTAAAAAACTTGATAACTTGACTTAAAATATACAGTAGGCATTTCAAAAATGTGTCCAAATGACAATTTTCCTGTCTGCCTTTGTCCTATTCTCCATATTCTTACACTACCGTAACTGACATTGTAGTAAAATGAAAATATTATTGCTATCGTACAGTACTATGATATTTTTTTTATTAGCACACTGGCCAATTCCCACCAAGGCAGGGTGGTCTGAAAAAGAAAAACTTTCACCATCATTCACTCCATCACTGTCTTGCCAGAAGGGGTTTGCTTTACCTAAAAATTTTTTTAAGCTGAAAAACAAAACCCACCACCCCCCCCCGAGTGCAGGAACTGTCTTCCCATTTAAAGGACTAAAGTCCAGCCTCCCGGTTTCCCTGAATCCTTTTATAAATTTTACTTTGCTCACATTTAAACCCGCCAAAAAGTTTTAAAAAAAACCATTTGTCCCCCATTCACTTCTATAAAACCCACGCTACGCATCCCCCGCTGGAAGTCCAAGCCCCTCGACCCCAAAACCCCCTTTATCCCCACAAAACCCCCTTTATCCCCCCTCCAAGTTTTCCTACCGACCCCTACCCCGTTCCTTCAACTAAAAGGACGGGTTACATTTTGGGAAAGTCATTTGTTTCCCTCCATTTTTCTCTACAGGTTTTGAACCCCCTAAAAACCCCTTCCTCACCCCCTCTGGAAAAAACATTTTTGGGGCCAATCCCGCCCTCCTAATTTTCCAAAAACTACAAATTTCTGCATTATTTTCACCCCCACATTGCCTCGGGACAGGACATCCCCACTGCCTCCCCCTTCTCCTCTCTGCAACTTCATACCCATGCTTCAAAACCCATATAAGGGGCATTGGAAAAAATTTTACTTTCATACATTCCCCTTTTTGCCTCCAAAGGCCCCAAAGTTCTTTTTTTCTCCACAGACCCCTTTAAGTGCACCCTAAACCCTTTCCCCCCTCATCAATTCTTTTGATTCACCTCATCTTTATTGATCCATTCCCCTGAAAACGCCCCCTCCCAAATATCTGAATACATTCACCCCCTCCATACTCTCTCCCTCCAATCTGTATTCCCAAACTTTCATACCGGGAAACTTTTTGTTATCCCCATAACCTTACCCTTTTTTTTTATTAAATTTTAATTTTTTCTTTTTCTTTCCCTACCAAAATTTATCCACCAAACCCCTGAAACTTCTCTTCAGAATCTCCCAAGAGCACAGTGTCATCAGCAAAGAGCAACTGTGACAACTCCCACTTTATGTGTGATTCTTTATCCTTTAACTCCACGCCTCTTGCCAAGACCCTCGCATTTACTTCTCTTAAAACCCCATCTATAAATATAGTATTAAACAACCACGGTGACATCACACATCCTTGTCTAAGGCCTACTTTTACTGGGAAATAATCTCCCTCTTTCCTACATACTCTAACTTGAGCCTCACTATCCTCGTAAAAACTCTTCACTGCTTTCAGTAACCTACCTCCTATACCATACACCTGCAACATCTGCCACATTGCTCCCTTATCCACCCTGTCATATGCCTTTTCCAAATCCATAAATGCCACAAAAACCTCTTAAGCCTTATCTAAATACTGTTCATTTATGTTTCACTGTAAACACCTGGTCCACACACCCCCTACCTTTCCTAAAGCCTCCTTGTTCATCTGCTATCCTATTCTCCATCTTACTCTTAATTCTTTCAATAATAACTCTACCATACACTTTACCAGGTATACTCAACAGACTTTATTATTATTTTTATTACCACACTGGCCGATTCCCACCAAGGCAGGGTGGCCCGAAAAAGAAAAACTTTCACCATCATTCACTCCATCACTGTCTTGCCAGAAGAGTGCTTTACACTAGTTTTTAAACTGCAACATTAACACCCCTCCTTCAGAGTGCAGGCACTGTACTTCCCATCTCCAGGACTCAAGTCCGGCCTGCCAGTTTCCCTGAATCCCTTCATAAATATTACTTTGCTCACACTCCAACAGCACGTCAAGTATTAAAAGCCATTTGTCTCCATTCACTCCTATCAAACATGCTCACGCATGCCCGCTGGAAGTCCAAGCCCCTCGCACACAAAACCTTTACCCCCTCTCTCCAACCTTTCCTAGGCCGACCCCTACCCCGCCTTCCTTCCACTGCAGACTGATACACTCTTGAAGTCATTCTGTTTCGCTCCATTCTCTCTACATGTCCAAACCACCTCAACAACCCTTCCTCAGCCCTCTGAACAACAGTTTTGGTAATCCCGCACCTATAATTTTTGCACTCTCTTTTGTCCCCTTTGCCTTTATACAAAGGAACTATGCATGCTCTCTGCCAATCCCTAGGTAACTTACCCTCTTCCATACATTTATTAAATAATAGCACCAACCACTCCAAAACTATATCCCCACCTGCTTTTAACATTTCTATCTTCATCCCATCAATCCCAGCTGCCTTACCCCCTTTCATTTAACCTACTGCCTCACGAACTTCCCCCACACTCACAACTGACTCTTCCTCACTCCTACAAGATGTTATTTCTCCTTGCCCTATACACGAAATCACAGCTTCCCTATCTTCATCAACATTTAACAATATATATACTATATTAATAGTACATTTTTTTTATGGAGTAAGTGGATGAATTGAATGCCTCCACAATACCACTGTGCCTCAGTGCATGGTTTATCTAACTTAATTTATCATCTCAAATGCCCAGGCAAATGACTTGAAGTTTTTTGTCTGAGTGTTCACTTCTTTGTATAAACATACATAAAATGCTAACTTGACAAAATCTCTTATCCAATCCTTGCCTCTCACACAATCTCCCCTTTCCCATAATTTATTAAACTCAATCTATTTTTTTATCCTCACTAGGTCAGTAAAGACTGAACAAGTACACAGCCATCAACTGATGGTGAGAAATACCTTGAATGTACTGTGTAAGTTTCTCCTTGCTTTATGCAAATTTGTTGCTTTACAAGGTTCCATTTCTATTATTAATTCCAAAAGTACAAAATACATTTGCAATTTGTGGTAGATGCAGTTCACAAAATATTTTGTTAATTCTAATTATGAGGAATTAGGGGTTGATGACCTGATTAAGCTTAGTACAGCATGTGTAACTGTGTAACATAAGAAATGTGTACCACTTAAAATACATATCACTTAAACAGTGAGAATAAAATAGACTGTGCAGTGAAGTACTTTATTATATATTAGAGAAAGAGGGGAGTTCAACAATACATACAATAATTTTCTAAAAGAGTAGAAAAATAAGTTAGCATTTGAAGACATAAAGTTAATACCCTCCATCATATCATATGTGATAAACAAGGAGAGTAATCACTGTTTTAATCTAAGTTCATGAGCTATACAAAGGAAATAAGAATGTACCAATTAAAAAGTAAATATATTTATATGACATTACTTACTTTTCCAAGTTTTTTGGCAGCATGCTTATGAAGAGCTGTGGTCAAGAGGGCATCAAATCTTTCCCCAGCATCTTTCCCTTTCTTCTGTCGGTTTCCTGCATCTTTCTCATCTGATTTAGTAAGAGGCTCCAGATCTTCTACTGCCATCTGTTAATAAATTTTACAGTGAAAAGTATGAATACAGCTTATGACTATTACACAGCAGAACTCTGGCATTAGCTTAAACCTTTCAATACATAATTAAGTGTTTGATGTTCAAACTGTTATTTTGGGAGGTATTTTTAAAAATAGCACATTTAGTTGGGTTAGGTGCGTTTTGTACTTATTTTTTAATTTGCACAACAAAATAATACCCCAACTGTAAAACTTAGTATTGTACAATTCAGACTATGGCTAAAGGCCAAGATTCGACAAGGAGCAGTCTTCTATTATCACCAAATATACTGTTGAAAAAATATACAATTCTTTTCAGAAATTATATATAATTGTAATAGATACAACTCAACAGATAACTCGGTACATTTGACTATCGGGTTATCTAAGATTAATATAAGAACATAAGAAAGGAGGAACACTGCAGCGGCCTGTTGGCCCTACTAGGCAGGTCCTTTACAATCCTGGGCAGGTCCTTTTTACCATTACTTGTTACCGAACCTGAACAAAAAGCTTACTTAAATTAGTCCAATAT